TTGTTTTTTGTTTTTTCTCCGGTACCGGGAACCGAACTCACGACCTTGCGCTTGCCAGGCAGGCGCTTTTGCCGCTGAGCTAAATCCCCAGCCCCCTCGTTGAATTCTCTTTTCAGCTGTAATGATCTTACAAATAAGTTCTTTAAAATTTTCTAGATGTGAGATTATAGCATCTGCAACAGAAATACTTCTACATCTTTCCTTCTAATTTGATTTTTTCCTCTTACCTGATTTCCCTTTCAGTGCTATAGTAATTGGAAATAGCAAACCTAGCATCTTTATTTTATTTCTGATCTTAGAAGAACCTTCAGTCTTTCACTTTGAGTCGAATAGTCATGGAGTTTCCACGTATTGCATTTTCATACTGAGATCTCTTCAGTCTTAGTATACTGTATGTTGTTTTATCACCAAAAATTTTGAATTTTGTCAAAAGTATTTTTCTGTATTAGTTGAGATAATCGTATGGTTTGTGTACTAATTAATTCAATGTAAAATGTCACCTTTTGGGTTATCTCTTAACTCTTAAACATTTGCTAAACAGAATGAAAGGCTCTGGCTTCTGTACTTTATGACATTAATATAAATTCACGAACATTTCTCTTAATTAATATGCTACCTGATTGTGTGCAGCTCACGGGTAGAGACGCCATCTTACATATATGTCAAAAGTGCTTAAAACAATGCTTCATGGGTGATAGTGTTCAACAGATGTTTCACAGATGAAAAAGCATGTGCTTCCAACAGTTAAGTTTAATGTTCCCCACTGAAAGAAAATAAGCTGTTAATGTACTGTTATTATCAATTGTTGCCCTTATGTAGCTTTTACCTGTACTTTTTCTCTTCTACTTTTCCATAAGTTGGATTTCTTTTTAGAATGTATTCATGTTCACTTTTTCAGTGGAAATTATCATAAAGATTTTTTGTAAGGTATCTTTCAAGAGCTATGCATTTAATACAGTATTAATTTTTTAGAGTTAATACAACAAGCTGTTTCTACACAGTCCACATTCTTTTAGATAGGAAAAGTCATTTCAAATATTTATTTCAGGGGTAATAAATAACTTTCTGAAATTTTGTAATGTAATAAAAAATTCATGATAGTTAAACTTGCAATATTTTGTGCCTGAATAAATACAAAAGGAATGAATATCCTTTCTCCAAACTCTTTATAGCTGCCCCCAAGAGATTCCAGGGCTGCTGAAATGGTAAGTCCATCAGAACGGATGCTAAGAAACCACATATTTCCCCAGTGCACTAAACATGTGTCTGGTAAATTGGTACAGAATTACACAAATATAAAATTTATATAATAGTATATGCAGACTACATAAATTTCATGTTTGCCATTTAGATTTTCTTTTTAAATTCCATACCCGGGAACAAATCTATGCATTGAACAAATACTGCTGTATAAAAACCCTTGGAACAGAAGTAAGTGGTGTAGCAGATTGAGAGAAGAAAAGGTTCAGTCCTGAACCTCTGAGTCATTCAAACTCCAGTCTCAGACTTGCTTAGGAATGTTTGGGACACTCAGCTCAGAATACTTCTAATTTTTTCAGTTAGTTTGTTTCATGATGAAGCCTAATATAGTAGCAGCTCTTTCTAAGAAGGAGGGGTTGTGACTGTGGATATGAGCGCTCCTTTGATTGTGTCTAGATGTGACAGATGAATGATACACAAACGCTGAATCTGACAAAAAAAAAAAGGGAAAATATAATATAGCTTCTCTTCTTGGTTGATAGTACCCTTTGGAATGGAGAATTTAGAAATTTTCTAATTTACAGTATAATCGAATTACAGTGATAATTGTAAAAGTCTATCAGAGTGGCTTATGGAGTCAGAAGCACTGATTTTTTTTTTGCTACCGGGAATCAAACTCAGGACCTTACTCTTGCCAGGCAGGTGCTTATGCCATTGAGCTATATCCATGGCTTAGAAGGCCTGATTTTGATGAGGCATTAATTGAAGTTTAGGAAAAAATATGTTGTGGCCATCTCCCTCAAAATTTGCATCAAGGGCAGAGATGCCACACAAGCATTGTGAGGATATAAAACAGTTAATTACCTACATAAGAAGAGTTTCTAAAGTGGGAGGTTCAGGGCTGGCTTTCAATCAGGGCTGAAGTGGCTTGAAAATAAGGAAAGGAGCCTGGATTGGCTTTTATTAAAGTTACAAGATGGGGCTAAGGCTAGCATTGTAAAAGGTGGGTAAGGGCTTTCATGATTTGAACCACCTACAGTTCGAAAGCAGGGGGACCATAGGCCTTCTTAGCAGTTAGTCTAGATTTGCGGTGGAAGGATGAAGCTTTACAGTTTTCAGCTGTCAAACATACAACATGAAGTTCAACTCTCTGTTACAATTTGTCCCTGATGTTTGTCTAATGACTGCTTCATTAATTGCATTGTCGCGTGTTTAACTGTGCCATGATAAATGTACTTTATGAGGCTTGTAGCCAGAGACTGTCTGGTAAAGGTGTCCACTGAAGAGCTTGTTCCAGAGCCCAGCACTGTGGATTTTGAAGTGAAAAGAGTGCCTCTGTCACTCTTAACAATGTCTGGGATGCTGAAGGAGTTAAGGTGAGTCCTCCCATTGTGTTCAGCATGTAGAGACTTGTGTAGCCTTAATTTGAATTTTGGATATCTGGCAGCAAGAGATTCCCATAATTATTTTGCCCAAATGAGGAAACACTGGATAAGTAATTTTTTACTATCATGATGGAACAAGATAGCTAGACCATTGGGAATACCCCAGGGAACTGTAAAAATGGACAAATGGAACAAACTTTTGGCCAAGGGAAAACCCAGTGCTAGGATGATTGACTAAAAATTCAGCCAAATGTGCTTACCCTTTGATCCTTTTTTATTAGGGAACCTAGGCTGAAGGATAAAATGTGCTTCAGTCCAATATGCGCAGTTATGTATAACTTTTTGGGTGCTGGCCATGACCTGTAGAAATTCTTATAGCTGTTTGCCCATTTAATTCTATAGAACCTTCCAGGTAGTTACACAGTCCAAGAGAGGGGTGACCTTCTCTAGCACCTAGTCAATTACAAGGGCCTGAGGACAGAAAAGGCTGCCTTGTACCATATCTTATATATTACAGAGGGGACAGAGTCAGCTCTGTCTAGTAGATAACTATTGTATTTTAGCATGGAGGCCTTGTTGACTATGCCAAGCTTCCAAGGTGATGCTCCCATTACCCATATAAAGGCATGAGGTCACAGACAGGCTCAGGTCTGTGAAAGCCTCTGTCTCGTGATAGTCCAGTTTGTACCCAGAAGTTGTCACTGCTAAAGATGTGTAGCTGTGTGACATAAGACTGAGGATCAGCTTCTTGAATCAGAAATCCATGATTATCATGGATGCTCTGGAGATGCCAGGAGATATGAGGGGAGGATGCTGAGACACCAAAGTGAAGGATTTTCTGGGAAGAAGGGAGAGGAACCAGCAGGAGTTTCTGTTGTATTGTCTTTTGAACATATTCTAAATCTGTTTGTTTTAGGGCATTTAATTCAAAATGGGCTGATTGTGAATGACAGAAAAAACAGATAAAATTTGTAAATGAGGACTACGTTGCCTCCAGATCCCCCAGAGACCTAAATGACTCTGGGCTTCCTTTAGTGTTGTTGGTGTTTGCAGAGTCATCTCTCCTCTTCAGCCTCGCTGCCCTCCCCTAGGTTGGGGTGTGGGGCTAAAAGTTCTAAACCACTTATCAGATGACCTTTTCTGTCTAAAAATATGGATTGCATAGAAATAGTTTGTTGTAGTAATTCAAAAAAACAAATATTGTATTAATTAACTGCAAGGTTAGTTCCTCTGGCAACCAGCTTTTGTCTGGAGACTATACAGGAGCCCACCAAGAATTGCCTCATTTGAAAAAAAGTTGCTCTTACAAAGGGATGTAGGAGCTCGGTGTCAGCCTCTCCTATCCTGCAGGAAATTGCGGAGGACTTAGGAACTCTCACTGGAAGTCAAAGTTCAAATATAAGAATAAAAATGCTCCTAATGTCTCCATCTGTAAGAGAGTCCATGGGAGAGTTAGAATCTCTTTCTTGCTCATATTATATATAATATGTATTTCATTTATATATAAATATATATGTTTATATAAATATTTAGATGTAATATAAAAATATAGCATTGATATAGAAAACTATAATATTAACATATTCTATTTACTATATAAGCATATTTTGTGGTATTCCAATGTCACAAGTTCTCTTTGGGCAACAGAAGCAACACAATAGAGCAGCAAAAGCATTTTCAGAGTCTTAGGTTGTCTCTGCTCTTAGATGTATGATCTGCAGTGTGCCCCATGGTAAGGACTTGGTTTTAGCAGTGGGCTCCTATATTACATAGAGTAACCCTATTTCCTGTGAACATTCTGTAGGACAGCAGCCAATGCTTAGTTGAGACACGTAACTAATGGCAGGGACACATAATTCCTAAGAGTTGTTCTTTTTAGCCTAACATCAGTCATGGCCTATTTTGTTCCCAAAACACATGAATCACACTGAGACACACGGTAAGATCTAGGCCAAGACACATCACCCAAGAGTACTTTAAAGAGGGCCCAAGTCCAGTATGCCCAGGCCAAGTAACAACTTCTGATTTAGGACAGTTAAATCTGTGGATGGAAAATGGTCAGTCCCATCAAATGCAGCACAGACTAGCACAGTTTAGAGCAAGCAGTCCTGCAGGGAACAGAGCCAGTTAGCAAGACAGAGCAAGTGAAGCAAGACTCCCATTTGTGGTGATTATTGCCTGGATATCCTGCTCACTACACCAATTATTGTCTTCATCTGGCAGAGCTAAGGTGGACCCCCATGCAAAATGCACTTCATGTGCCAAAAGTGATGAGTAATATACATGGAAAGTGATG